AGGAAATTTTGTTGTATTTTAATTTTTTTTTGGAAATTCTGTACATTTAATGAAGTTATTGTTAATCATCTATTGGTTAAATGTAAGAGGCTATTGTTCGAGACGAACAATACTAAGAAAGGGGCATTGTTATGACAGCGAAAGTCACGTGACGCTGGTGGTGCATTAGCGCTGGTGGCGTGCGTGATGAGTTTCTTGAATGATCGGGGAAGTCTGAGTTTTTTGGAGTTATAATATAAGCCTGGCAGTGGAAAGTCAGTGGGTGGGATATATGAATGCAGAGAGCTAGTGAGCTGTAAAGTGTGTGCCTTGCACTCATCGAGAGCGAAGTTATCGAGATTGTGAATTGCTGTGATTTATAGCTTGTATAAGAGAAATGTATTGATTGTCGAACTTTCTGTGTACTAAATGTTTGTATGGAGGAAGAATAAACTGGTTTAATCAAGAAAAAACTTGTATTGCTGAAGATCCTTGGAAAGAATTTCTACGGGAAACAAACAAACAAGCAGATACGTAACACTTTATATATTAGCTCTTAAGCATCTTTCGAGGTTCCAATAGTGATCTATTAGCCAAGGCTAGTGATGCAGAACATTTAGAAACTAATTTACCTTACCTAATGCAAAAATATTATCAGATGCTATAAAATTACAAAATTATCAAGGTTAGTTAAATTATTCCATTACAGAACAAGTACCTTACTGTAGACCTGCATATACTTTTTCAGCCTAATTCACCTGGACCATTATAGAACTAGTGTCAATCATTGTAGCATTGGAGAATATTGCAAGTCTAATTTACCTAGTTTCAAATACAACTACTGCCCACAACTGTAATAATGAAGAATCTTTCCAGGCTAATATTCCTGATCCTATACAGAGCTACTTCCCATCACTGTAGCATTAGAAAATATTTATAAATTAATTTACTTGATCCCATATAGAGCTACTCCCATCACTATACCATTCGAGAATCTTGCCTGGCTAATTTATTTGGTCCCATTCAGAGCTGCTGCTCATCATTGTTGCATTAGAAAATCTTTCCAGATTAATTCACCTTCTCCCATACAGAAGTACTGCCCATCACTATAACATTTGTGAATTTCAACATTCTAACTTACCTTATTCCATATAGAACCACTTTCCATCACTTTAGGAACAGGGATTCTTTCCAAATTATTTTACCTGGTCCCATATACAACTACTTCCAAACAATTTAGCATTGTAAAATTTTACCAGACTAATTATCTTTTTCTTCACTGTAGCATTGATTAATCTTTCCAGACTTATTCACCTGTAGTATTGGAGAATCTTTGTAATTAATTTGCCTGGTCCATCCATATAGAATTACTGCCCATCATTGTAGCCCTGCAAATTGCTTCCAAATTAGTTTTACTGGTCCCACACCAAACTGTTTGTTTGTAGTTAAGTACAAAACTACACAATGGACTATCTGTGCTCTGCCCACCACAAGTATCGAAACCTGGTTCCTAGCATTGTAAGTCTGCAGACATACCACTGTGCCATTGGGGGGTCCCACACGAAACTACTTCAATAACTGTAGCAATAGATAATCCTGCCAGACTAAGCTACCTGGTTCCAAACTCTTACAAGGCTTTACAACTACTTTCCTCACAGTAGCATTGGAGAATCATTCCTTGTTAATACATTTTGAACAATGTAGAACTCCTGCCCATTACTGTAAAATTAGATAATCTTTCCAGATTAATTCAATAGGTCCCATAGGTAACTACTTCCTATCCCCATATCATTAGAGAATATTTCCAGGTTAATTCACCTGGTCCCATGTTGAACTACTTCACATTACTGTAGCAATGAGGAATCTCACCAAATTAATTTACTTGGTTCCATATACAACTACTGTCCTTCACTGTAGCATTGAATAATCTTTCCAAATTAATTTAATTGGTCCCATATAGAACTACATTATTGACTGTGGCATTGGAAAATCATTCCAGGCTAACATACTTGGCTTCATTTACAACTACTTCTCTGTACTGAAGCATTGGATAATTTTTATAAATTACTTCATCTAGGCCCATATGAAACTATTTCCCATCACTATGGAATTGGAGAGTTTTACAAAGTTAAGCCACATTTTTTGACACAAAAGTACTTTGCATTATTGTAGCAACAGAGGTTCATTACAAATTGATTTACTTAATTCCATATAGAAGTACTTCACATCAATGTATCATTGGAAAATATTACCAGACTAATATACTTTGCCCAATTTACTACTACTTCTTTTCACTGTAACATCGACGGTTTTCCAGGTTAATTCACCTGGAACAATATAGAACCATTTCCTATCACTGTAGCATCGGAGAAACTTTCCAAATTAATTCATTTTGTTCAACATACAGGTATTTCTCATCACTGTAGCATTAGAGAATCTTAACAGTTTTATTCACTTGTTGCATAAAAAACTTCTTCCTATAACTAACTTACCTGTTCCTCTGTACAACTACTTCCCATCATTACAGCATTGGAGAATCTTCTAAATTAATTCAGTTGGTGGCATATAGAACATTTACCTTTCACTTTATAGCAGAGGGACAATCTTTACAGGTTAATTTCCCTGGGCATGTACATAACTACTTCCCATCATTGCAGGATTAGAAAATATTCCTGAATTAATTCATTTAATCTTATATACAACTAGTGCCAATCACTGAAGCATTGCAGAGTCTTTACATATTAATTTATCAAGGTCCCATGGATAACTATGTACTTCCCATCACTATAGTATTGGAGAGTATTTCCAGGATAATTCACCTGGTCCCATGTAGATCTAGTGCCTGTCACTGTGGCATTGGAGAATCATTCCAATTACTTTACTTGGTCCAATATAGAATTGTGTTCTATGATGGAACAATGTAAAAATCATACCATACTAACTTACTTGGTCCCATTTATAACTACTTCCCTACATTGAGGAACTTTCCAGGTTAATTCATCTGGAACAATGTAAAACTACTGCCTATCTCTGCAGTATTGGAGAATCGTTCCACACTAACAAACCTATATACAGCTATTTCTCATCACTGTAACACAGGAGAATCTTACAAAGTTAATTTTCCTGGTCAATCCATATAGATCTACTGCTCATTATAGTAGCATTAGAGAATATTTCCAAATTTACCTGGACCCATATAGAACTATTTCTCATTACAGTAGCATTGGAGATTATTTCCAAAATAATTTACATGGTGCCTTTTATCACTATAGTGTTTGAAAATCTTACCTTGCTAACTTACTTTGTCCGATTGACACCTACTTCCCATCACTATAGCATTGGAGAATCTTTCCGGAATTCACCTTGAACAGTATAGAATTACTGCCTACTATTGGAACATTGAAGAATCTTACCAGATTAATTACCTCATCCCATACAAAACTACTTCCCCTCACTGTAGCATTGGAGAATCTTTCCACATTAATAAATACCTGGTTCGTGATAGACCTACTTCTCATCGCTGTAGTATTGAAAAATCTTACCACAGTAATATTCTTGGTCACATTTACAACTACTTCTCTTCACAATAGGCTATCTTAGCTCTGTCCACCACAGGGGATTTTAGTGTTATATGTCTGTAAAGTTACTGCTAACTCACAGACACCACAGTTGAAAACAATGTAATTAAACTGAGCTATATTTAGTATTATATGCTACCAAATATTTACAGATGTACCTTTCTGTCCAAAATATTCACATATATAAGACTGAAATATAACATCTACATTTGCAAGCTACAGTTATAAATCAGTTAGACTTTAAACTTAGGGACAATGATAGTTAAGCAAGTTATTAAATATAAGTCATATCAAAGAAAAATGTCACCAGTATAATTACGACCGTGAATACTGTTCTTTATTCACAAACCTGTGGGTTGTTGAATAATAATTATTTCTTTAGTTTAAATTGTCATTCTTCCTCTTCAAATATTCAAAATCCTCTATTTAAAATGTAGCATAAAAACTTTAGAACACGATGCTAGAATATATGCTATCTCATAATGAAAGAGACTAGGAATATTTGCTTATTCTGACATAGTACTCGTCCATCTTTATGGCTTGTGTGAATTAAAATATTGTTGCGTATCTGCTTGTTTGATAATTTCCTGTAAAAATTCTCTCCAAGAAACTTCAGCGATACAAGTCCTTTCTTAATTAAAACTAGTTTATTCTTTCTTGGTACAACACTGCAATACAAAGAATTAGTTAAATACTTCACGTAGACTTTTAGTTTTTAATTACTTTGATAAACTTTACGTCGATAACAATAAACTTGCAACACTTACATAAAGTCATAAGGTAATGTTACGACAGAGGGGATCACGTGAAGCTAGTAACAGTCATATTCTCGAACGTTCACGTCCCTTCCTGAAGCCTCGGGAGGTTACTAAATATGCGGTATTCTTGTATATATAAGACCGCCAAGAAGTGACGGCAACAATGTAATGTAATGTGTAATTGAACTGCAGGCAGAGATAGATACGGACAGTAGAGTCGAGCACGTGAGACGTTCGTTGTGAATTATAGCGTTTGTTATAGCGCGACTGTGGAAATTAAGTGTATTGCAAAGTTGTATTCAGAAATAATAAACCAGTTTTATTTAAGAAAGGAATTGTATCGCTTCGGAGGCGTAACAGTACTTTTGCTAACTTTTAATAGTTTAAATCAAAAGACACTCCAATAAATTTTTAACCAGATAGACTTAAAAAACCCCAATCACATATTTCAGTTGAATATTTGTAAAAGGGTTGCAAACCGAAAAATATTAACTGATACAGTACTATCTACAAATTAAGCTATTTATATGAATTTTGTTTCGTAATGTTTTTCTCATAAACCTTACATTACGTGAAACTGTCATTCAAATTGTTTTTGAAAGCTACTGGTTATTTTTAATGTTTATTTATTTTTTATTATGTTACCTAGTCATTCGTTAATTAATTATGTCTTTCTCCTGGGTAGCACCTTATGGTTATATAGTCCAGGTGGACTTCAGGGACCAGTTTCATTTGGAAGAGTCTCCCAACTGCGACTACGATAGCCTGGAAGTAAGGAACGGGCCATACGGATATTCAGACCTAATTGGCCGTTACTGCGGCTCCGACTTTCCTTCCATTATAACGTCATCTGGTCGCCACTTGTGGATGAAGTTTTCTTCTGACGACAGTATTGAATATACTGGTTTTAGAGCTGTTTATAAATTCAGTCCTGTTGAAAGTACGTATTTTCTAACAGTATTGAAAAACATTTGGCTCATTACAATATGATTACTTAATATATTAATAACCTTGTGCATGCCTTTTGTAAAAAAAATATCTTAAAACCTAGGTATTTAGAAATGTTTTTGAAAACAAGAAAAATTTACATTAAAATCCTTAATGAAGAATACTACCACATCCTGTACACCCCCGAAAACAACGATATGAGCCCCTTACATTAGCAACCAAGAAAAGTAAAGTATAAAAGTACACTTTGGATTGTATGCGCAAGCGTAATGATAATTCGGAGAAACATGGCACAAACATAGTCATCTTCATTAAATAATACCTGCGTTTATGTGATAACACTGGATATTCTGTAGTTCCTAAGTTACCATAGTGCGCACATTCTGTATCATGTTGTGAATTTTTAAATTGTATCATTGGTATTTAATATTCGGATTTTTCAATGTGAACAGCACTTAATGGGACATATGGGCTAAACAATAGTATGCAATACACAGTAGGAAAGACTGCAAAACGTGGAAAAATAATGAAAAAAGTTCAAATTGGTAAAACACACGTCTGTGACAAAAACTTTATATTTGCAACGTTTCGGACAGAAGCCCTTCGTCAAGCAGTTATACCATGTTACATAGAAAAAAGGCTCAGAAATAATCGTTGAAGGTTTAGAATATAAAGAGATTCTAAATTATGTACGTACTGCGTGGAGTACGTTAATAAAAATATTGTTAGAATGAACATTGTTGAAGCGGTTCTATAAACAATTTTAAAAATCGAAAATAAGTATTAAAGTGATAGAAATTGGATTTTAGAAATTAAAAGGACACATAAAGTAATAAACATAAGTTCGAAAAATGATAAAATAGTAATTTGATAATAATGATCAGGGAAATATATGTAGACGGTGTCATAGTTTTTGTTGAAAGTGCTAGAATGTTTAGCGGCATATTGCAGCTCGAATATTGGACACTTCAACCAACTTTCTGGTACGCTAGTCATTAAGCTACCTGTTTTTAAATTATCATTGATGACAACTGAGTGTTTTACAGAGTCTGTACTGCGCAACTCAATACTTTTGTGCTATTTGTTTATTTTCTACGTTATCGAAATCTGTAGTTCGACAACACTGTTACAGCAGGTATTAAGAAATATATGTTTTCCTGTTATACATTCTATGTGAAGATATTTTTTACTTTTTATGGAAAATCATTACTTTTATATCTAATTTCTACAGACACTTATCTGTTTTTCTTTCAGTATTATATATTTTAAAATTACGCAAAACTAAATTTCCGGTGTCTGTAACTTGTTACATATTAGAATTTCAAATAGCCTGAAATTGAATTAACTGATAAATTTAAATATAGTAGTTAAATTGTACTTTGGATTTAGCAGTGAAGTAAAAGCCAATATATGGTCAGTTTATGATATTTGCCAACAAGATTGATGCATATAGTTTTTTTTTAACACAAATACGTTTTAATGTACGCAAAAACAATACAACTTACAATAACAGTTATTACAAATACTTATTACAAACAAAAGTTTCACAAACTTAAAAGCAATATAAAGTATTTTTTCCAGTCTGGAACTTCCTTGATATTGTTACGTCTCTGTTCGTTTGTTAATTTACGGTATAAATTCTTTCCGAGTAACTTCAGCGATACAAGATCTTTCCTCAATCAAACTAGTTTATTCTTTCACGACACAATTTTTTAATACACAGAATTTCCACAGTTACTTTAACTTAACAACTTTAATAAACACACACTATAATTCACAGGGATTCACAAACTTTACTTATGGTGCCTACTGTTCGCTTGACTCAATTATCTATCTCTATATCTATCTATCTATGCAATTCTATTATTTTTCGCTGGCTTTATTTGCCGGGCTTATATACTAAAAAAGAGGGCGTCTGGAACAAACTAGATTTGCCAGGAAAATTCATTATCATTCGAAAAACTCCAGCGCGCATGCTCCCAGCGTTGCGTGACTTCCGCTGTCGTGACACTGTCCCTTCCTTAGTATTGTTTGTCCCAAACAATAGCCACTTACATTAAACCAACAGTTAATTAACAATAATTTGATTAAATGTACAGAATTTACAAACACAAAATTAAAATACAACAAAATCTCCTAATTTTACAGGACGTATCTTCTTCCGTACTGGTCTCTGTCTCATTGGCTTCTGCTTCACGTGGGGTTCATCTGCTCCATCAGGAAATGTCCCATTATCGGTAGCAGTCACATCAGTAGTAGTAACTTCATTAATGGCTTCACTGTTTTCCTTCTCAAAACCGGGCTTTTTCAGGTGACACGCCTTCTGTAGTTCATTTCATTTCAACTGAAATGTCCTGGACCATGATAACGCCAAAGCCTGTTGTCATGCACCATCTTTGGTTTACCTCGCCGACCACATTTTATTCGGAAAGTCACGTCTAAGAGACGATCCATTATGTCATATGGGCCTTCCCATGGAGAAGGCAACTTAGGAGACTTCCCTTTGGTCTTCCTGTGACTATAAAACCACACCTTGTCTACTGGTACAAAGCTGACTTAGGTAGATCTCTTATCAGTACATTGCTTCATGGAATAAACAGACGTTTTCAAGTTTGAACGCACTTGATGACGAATATCATTCATCCTTTCAGATAACACTTTCACGAATTCTGACACATTTTCAGGCAACTCTTCGTAAGGTGTGTGTCCTGTTATCAGGTCCACTGGCAACCACAATTCTCGACCAAACATCAGCTTTGCTGTAGAGTATCCAGTGGCTTCATGCTCTGCTGTTCTATAGGCCATCAACAGTGGAGGGAGAAAGACATCCCAGTCATCTTGGTGGCTAATACAAAACTTTGATAATTTCTGTCCCAGTGTCCAATTGTACTTTTCTACCATCCCATCAGACTGTGTGTGAAGTGACGTTGTCCTGGTCCTTCATATGCCAAACAACTTGCAGCATTCATGGAACACAGCTGATTCAAAGTTACGGCCTTGTTCTGAATGCAATTCGTATGGCATACCAAACCTGAAGAAGAAATCACTAATACCCAAAGGTACAGTTGTTGCTTCCTAATTTGGTATAGCATATGCCTCAGGCCACTTGATGAAATAATCCATCACCACACAAATGTACCTATTTCCATCATGAGTTTGGGGCAAAGGACCAGCAATGTCAATGGCTACTCTTTCTATTGGTGTACCAACTTGATATAACTTCATTGGAGCACATCCCTTATGCTTGGGCCCCTTTTAGCACAACATGTACTACAGGTCCTACACCATTCTTCCACATCTTGCTTCATACCTATTTAGTAAAATCTCTGTTGTAGGTGACTCAATGTCTTCTTAACTCTGAGATGTCTTCCTGTTAAACTATCATGGGATTGACGCAGCACAACTTCTGTAACTTTCTACTAACTGTTTGTCAGGTCGTCCCTTTCCCATCTCTGGACAAGAATACCATCTTCAAGCT